CTGGTTTTTCTTATTGATTTGCATGACACATAGCATACTTAATCAATTTTTGGGTAATGATAGGAACTAAGGTGTGTCATCCCCAAATTGATATGTTGAAGCCCTGACTCAGCATATGAGAATATTTGGAGATGGGTCTTTCAGGAGATAATTAGGTTTAAATGAGGTCATGAGGCTGGGGCCTTTACGGTGGGATTAGTTCCTTTATTAAAAAAAAAGGGTATCAGTGAGCTTGCTGCTTCTTTCTCCCTCTGCTGCGTGAACACACAGTGAAGAGGCAGCCATCTGCATGGGGGGACAAGGGTTCTCGCCTGGAATCAAATGGGCAAGCACCTTGATCTTGACTTTCCCAGCTTCCAGAACTGTGAGAAATCAAAGCCTGCAGTTTAAGCCACTTACGCTATGCTATTTTGTTGCGATAGGCCTGAACTGGCCAATACAGGTGACGTCATGTTTGGAGGAATAGCTGATATGATGAAGTGAAGTACATAATTGTCAATATTAGTGATGACTGGATCAGATTCAGAAAGATTTTGGCACGATGAATTAATCAACCAGATTCAATATATCAGATAAGGTTTAATATAAAACTCAGTGCTTAGATTTTTATAAAAAGTTCCAACATAATAAAGGTTGGAGAATTTATCACTTAGAGTGGATTTGGGAAAATTTAGAGTTTAATTCCGTCATTTTACACTCTTTAAGTCAAACACAGCTAAGCATTGTTAAATTTTGGTACCGCACTCTAAAAGGAAAATTGGCAAGCTGTCACAAATCATGTGGAAGGCAATCATAATGGTGGACTGTTTGAAAGCCATATTATATGATGAATAACTTTTATTTCCAGCCAGAATAGAGTACCAGAGACTAGATTTATCCTCCTGCCTGAAACAAATAACCTGACAAAATATATGAAACAATATTATCAGAATTTTGGACATCAGGCAACTAAGGACAGTAATCTTGGAGAGATGGGAGATAAAAATGGCTTTCCCAGTTTACTGCTGGGATTGTTTCCAGGCCATGGTGCATCAGAGTGTGGGGGTAGGGGGAACATTTTCTTTTTACTTCACTAGAGTTATCTCCTTTTTTGGCCCATATTATGAGCCAAAATAAGTCACAGAATATAAAATAATGGCAGAACGAAAACACATGGTAGAGAAGCAGACTGGAAAATGCTGTATCATCCAAAAAAAGCAAAGTAAGGCTTTAGGCACATTAGCCATTGTTGCTGAGTGCACAGGATTTTCATCCTCTGTGGCACTGGTTGGCCTGTCATGGGTAAAACATTAACTGGGCTATCCAGGACTTAATTAACTTATATATGTGCATCTGTAATTAAATGTAACAGTATTTCTGAAATGAACAGCACCATAAAAATCAGAGCTTTTTTGGAATAGTGCTAAAGGAATTAGTCCTAAAGTTGAAGGGTGGTTATGTGTCCCAGGGATTAGTATAAAGACTAAAGAGTGGACTTTTTAATGGCAGATCTTGGCTCAGTAATTGGGAGCAAAATATTCTAACAATTAGAATATCTGAAAATTAGAATGGGCTCTTTTTCTTAGCCTATTAATTTCAGTCATTGGAAAAATTAAAATAGAGGTTGCATTCATGGCTGTGCCAGCCTGTAGGAAATTTTGGGGAAATTAGGAAAAGGTACCCTGACTGGTAGATGACTTAACAAAAGTGACTTCTTTTGTGTGGATGTATGCCTGCTAGTTACATGACTTAGTGAGCAGAACATGGCCTGAGTCTCACAGCCTGTACTTTCTCCCTCAGATGGGGACCTTTAGCAGTGTTCTCTTATTAGAAATGCTGTAGACAACTTCCTGCAGTAGGTGTGAGTTTGAGGTCAATGCCCTCTGAGCCTTGGGAGTCTGTATTTCCAAGTGTAGCCAGGATGTAAATCAGTGCTTTAGAGGTCCCATTCTCCACATAGATCACATTCAAAGAAGCATATTGCCACAATCAAAAGTTATGTGAGAAGAATTTCAGTCTTTACTGGTGTCTCTCAAAAACCATTAAATGTGATACAATTTATAACATGCACAACTCTTCTTAAAAATTCTTTGCTTATGAGCCTGGCCCAATCCCTCATACTTTAGAATTGTTTCAGGGGCCCTTGCATGCTAAGCCTCTAAATCTCCCTCTGAAACCCCAGTCCATGAGGTTTTCCATCTCGGTCTCCTTTTTGTCTCCTCCATTTAGTACCTACATTTTCCTTTTTCCATTCTCTCAATTCTATAATAAAAGAAAAAGGAATTGTGTTGAAAAATGATAAAACTTTCCTTAGATTGTGAGAGAATGGAGAGAAGTTGAGTAAATAAAGTCTCATTTTTCCCACTTTCTAACTTTCTTTGTCTATCCACCTCTTTTTTTGATTCTTTACAGCACAGCCTGGGAACCAGGCTGAAATAGACTAAATGATTCTTGGGTAATTTCAGGCATAGGGACATTCATACATTAGTATTTATTGAGTGTATCGTAGAGTTCAAACATGTTAGGGATGTGATTAAAATAGCATTTTAGGAAGAAGAATTTTTTTGTCAGTCCACATGGGAGATGGAAGATAATTTGTATAGGTGTTCACCTTTTTATTTATTTATTGAATAAATTGTATAGTTGATATACAATATTATATTGGTTTCAAATATATAACATAGCGATTCAATGGTAATCTACATTATCAAATTCTCACCCCAAGTGGTATAGTTACTGTCATCATAGACTGATGCTGTAGTATTATTGACTATATTCTCTATGTTCTACTGTCATCCTTGTAACTAATTTATGTATGATTGAGAATTTGTGTCTCTTTATCCCCTTTATCTGTTTCACCCACCCATCATAGGCCCTACCCTATGGTGACCACTAGTCACTTCTCAGTGTCCGTGAGTCTTTTTTGTTTTTACTGTTCATCTTTTTAATTTGTATAAGTGTTGCCTGGACATTTGGGAAGGTAATGTATATATGATAATGCCGTACTGAACTTTAAACTAATTTTAGTCACTGAAACTTCTGAATAAATAAATTTAATTTTCTTGAATTTTGTGGTCTGGGTCAAAGTAATCTGAGTCTCATGGGTGTGAATAAATTTTTTTATAAAATGTGTTTTGGTATTGCTGATTATCAGTAGGGGTGATACCATGCTCTAGAGTGAGATTTTGGCATGTTTTAAATAATGTGTAGGCACAAGGAATTGGAAAAAATCTAGATACTAGAATTCCAGATTTACACTAAAAATTTTTTAGGAAAGATTTATTATAATGTTTAGGAATTTTTTGATTGAGAGTCTACAGAACTGTCTTATCAAACTACTTTCCCTTCCTCCTGTTCTTAGGACATTTTAAAACTATTGCCGGCACTAATTTGTTTAGGTACTTCTATGTAGATTCATCTTCAATTCTAAAAATCTTGTTTATTTGAATTTTTTGTTACTATTATTTAACACAACACAAAGGTTTTTTATAAAATGAGTGAAATTACACAAATCATAGCTGTTGTTCAGTGATTTCAATCTTTCAATTGCTTTTCTCATTTTGTCAGCATAGATTTGCATTTATGACCTAGACAAGTTTTGAATAACTATCTTTAGTGTTAATTTTTATTATAAAAGTAATACATATTTAGTATATATATGTAACTTCTGAATTTCTTTATTATATAGTGAATGAAATATATAAAACAAAGTTAAAGATTGCTGTTTGCAATGGATAAGTAGCATAGCATCTCCATTAAAAGTAGACTGACTTACCTGGTGAGTCTAGTTCTCATACCAAAGAATAGGGTTAAAATGTTGCAATGCAAGCCTGTAATGGGGTTCCAAATCTAAACTAATGAAAAGTTTGTAAATTAAATGTAATATAAACAATCGGAAAAATACAAAGTAAATTCTACTTTGTAGTACATACAAATGAAGTGTTCCTATATGGCTACATATTTAGAATTCACTGGATTTAAAATGAATGGTATTTTTGTACAGATAGAAAGCCAGTGATGTCATCTTTGGAAGGCTGAGAATAGCTCTTCACCTATATTTAAAGCCTTGGGAAAGGTACAGCAGGGGACCTTGGAAAGAGACAAGGGATCCAAGTACTTTGTTATTCTAAAGTCTTCCAGAAACCAGATTTCTACATTCTGGACAAATAGGTATTAAAGGCAGCAGCAAACTATATACATGGTATTTTTTTTCTTGGCTTCACAATTTTGTTAATATATTGGCTCTTTGGTTTAATTCCAATGGCACAGCTCATAAATGCAGGCTTTGTCTCTTGTGGGCTGGGGAGAATAATCATAAAATAAAAATCTTTGACAGTCTGTCTGTTCTATTATAAAGGGTAACATCCTTTCTAAAAAACAGAAATCCCCCAAAAGCCATGTGAAAAGAGGGCAGCAGGACAAAAAAAGTTGGGAGCACTTCAAACAATAGTTTGAACCATACGTTACTCCAAGAAATTTCAGTTAACAGTAATGTGAGTGTGAAAATTATATGACTTAGAGAAACAGAAAACACTGAATGAACAATTTCAGGACAGGGAAGAACTGTTGCTGTAAGTATTTGTTCATTGTGATGCTTATTTTCTTAACCCAGGAGATGAAATTTCAGTTTGTTTATGAGAACTGGCTATTCTGTTCTCAGAGTGGGCAGTGGCTGTCTGAATGTTTCTGTATGAATGAAAATCTCATCTCCCACGGAACAAATAAAATAAGGGCATTAAGCAATGCTCTTATGTTCCTGAATTTTGTAGAACTGGCAGCCATTTGATATACTGAAAATATATACCTCCCAAAGATGTAAGGCTAGATTCTCTGAATGTACTTTGCACGATAGACCCCTCTGGCAGTTTTACATTTTTGCATAGTTTGTAGGGAGAGACTGGACTAGCTGAATTCTTCCTGGTTTCATTAGCATAACCCAGCCCACTTCCAACACACGCCCAGAACTACCTCATTAGCCATTGGGATTGGAGCCAAACATAGGAATACAGTGAATATAAGGGGAATTACTGGCGAGAGAGCTCTAGATCAACTTAACACTGAACCCATTATTTTTTCAAGGTCAGAAAAATATTACACTAACAGGAACCATTTCTCCATTTCATTTAGCTAAGAATTCAAGGTTTTAATCTATATTTTTAATCTACAATAATCAGCTGCACCATAATATACAGCCTGGCTGCATATATTTAAGTGCTTCTGTTAATCTCTCCCTCTCTCTTTTATTGATTTTTCTGGATAGCGTTGACATTGTAAATCACAGACGAATTGGAGCCTGGCATTGAAAGGAGGTGTTCTGCAGCGCTTTTTTTTTTCTTGTCTAAAGAAGTTTACTTCTACAAGAGGGAATCTGAAAAATGACAGGAGCGAAGAGGAAAAAGAAAAGTGTACTCTGGAGCAAGATGCATACCCCCCATTGTGAAGACTTTAAACAGTGGTGTAGACGGCGGCTACCTATTTTGGAATGGGCACCACATTACAATCTGAGAGAAAACTTGCTTCCAGACACTGTGTCTGGTATCATGTTGGCAGTTCAACAGGTGACACAAGGTAATGTATTGCATTTGGTTTTCCTCTTTTACACAGAATAAATGTCACTTTGCTTTCTTGGAAGAGTATTGTTACTTAAGTTCTACAGTTTGGCTGATGAACTGGTTATTTAACTTTGGGGGAATAAACACATTGAGTATCTGTATACAAAAGTTTTTCCTGATTGTCTTTTTTGTTGTTGTTATTTTCTGATAGCTGTTAAGCACTAAACCTATTTTTGAATGGCATTACATATTTGCAATGTTAGAATTCTTGCTATATTAGAATAAAAGATCAGTAATTGTAAGGAAATGAGTTTCTATAGCTTGACCTTGCTGATAGTTTCCTACTTTTGCTGAATCAAGCTATAAAATATCTCTTGGCTTGAATACATTGTTTATAAACCTAATTAGCAGCTCACAATTACCTGTTGTAGCCTTGAGAGTTGCTAAAGCAAGGAACAGAGCTTGCTGTACATAAAGGAGGCTCTTTGCCAAGATCATTATTTGCAAAGAGAATCCTGTATGTCCTTAGAGCTTATGTTTTACTGTGCATGCCGATTTATCCTGTATCACATTACATACTGTATTTGTTTCTCAATAAGAAATTAAACTGATGAAAAGTCTGATTTTAACTTTCCTAAAGCAGATTCTAAATAATATACTGTATTTAGATAGGTGTTTCTCTTGGTGAAAGCTGTTAGTTAACTATCGTTCATGCATGCGTGTGTGTGTGTGTGTGTGTGTGTGTGTGTGTGTGTGTGTGTGTTTTAAAGGTATATTCATTGCTTTTTTTTTTTTTACTAGTTCAGGTCTAATTTCTTACCTGTAACAAAGGAACTGATTTCTCAGCCTTGAGAATTTGGAATACTTTTGTTGGCATAGATTCTGTAGATTTGTATTTCCTTGCAGTTTCACTACCTCCCTGGTTTGACCCATTATTCATACTGTTAAATTATAAGCACTCTTTTAATTGAATTATTCTGTAGCTGGAACAAACTGGTTTGTGTATTTATGTTTTTAGTATGATTAGGAACATCTGCACTGGTGGCTTTACTTTAAGATCCATAATACTATCATACTTTATGGGATTTCATTTCCCTGAATAGTCTTATATTACATTTTTAATGACCATTTTGCCAATAGCAAAGCATAGTAATCTTTCATAAAAATGCAAAGTAAATAGCAGGTTAGGGCATTTTCAGTCTTGTTTGTATTCCATTTTAAATTCAAAATGAGCCACTACCGTATACTTTGAAACTTAGGTGAAGAACTTACGAGGGTTTTTTTGCAGGATAGTTTTCAGACATTTTACAAATTTATTTTGCCTTAACTTATAGTGAAAGATAAATAGATTTAAAAAATAGAATAAAGTGTTTTTATTTTTGTAAAATATAGGGTTAATAAGGAAATTTGGGGATATAATAAAAATGCCAGTGATTCATCATTAGTGATTACACTTATGTGTAAGTCTTTGGTAGTTAATTGTATAGCTCTCATCAAGGTATAGATTTTGAGGGATTTTGTTTTATGAGCCATGTTTCATTGGTTGTGAAGAAACACATTAGCCAACCTCCAAATGATGAGAAGCACTAAGCTTACTCAGCCCTTGTGTCTTGGAATGTTATGGATCGGGCTGCCGGTTCTCTGGGAAGCCTACCAGAGATTGGATGAGGCTGCACCACTAGAAAAGATTTAAAAGTTTTTGTTGGTAAATGAAAGACGAATTCTTCTAAAAATACTTATTTTATAAAAATTCTCTCGAATTTCCTCATGCTTGCCTACTACAGAGAGAGAAAAAGTGAAATACCATAAACCACCATTTGTTGCAAGGTGCATTGTAGTAACCCCCTTATATAATTTATCTGCCCTATTCTAATAAAATCCCAAGAGACAGCAGCCATTTTCCTTGAGAGAACATGGAGACTTAGAAAGGTCAGTAGTTGTCCCTGGACCTCATATCTGATAAGTGGTAGAGTCAGGACTTGAATCCAAAGCCAACACTCTTAACATTTTATACTTTATACTCTACACGGCCAAAATAACTAGACTTTGTCATAATACCAATGTTATTAGTAATAGAACACATTTCTTTGGAAAGGTATGAATATTCTTCCTTTCAAATTACTGTTGCATGGAGATTTCATCTCTGCAGTTTTTAGACTCAAAGAGAAACTGACAAGGAAAATAAGTAGAATATAGAGTGAGGAGGGTATTTTTAGATGTCATTGCCTTCTATTTGTGTGAAGACAGTATTTGCAGTCATTATCGGCTCAATTTCTTTAGGACAATCAGAAGAAACAAGGGGTCATATTTGCTCTTGCATCATAACACAAATAATAAGCACCAGTACTTGTTTTTACTCTACCAATCTTTGAAGCAGTGTTTCAGCTTCTCAGCATAGTTGGTTTATATAAAATCATTGAAATCAACATTTTTTTGACCAACAAATATGGAAAATTATATGGTTCAATTTAGTAGTTTTTCATTTTGTTTCTCTAGAAATACATATAAAATTAAGAAGAATAATAGAAACTAATGTCTCTTTTCTATAGCAAATAGCAAGGAACCATTTTAAATTACCTTATTAAGTACTTCCCCAGTTGTTAAATATAGATGCTTGTCAGTTATCACCATCCTTGTCTCGTCTACAGCATTTTCTGTGTTGACTGTACTCTTTCTTCTTTCGATATTTAGTCACTGCTCTTTTGTTTTTCTCCTACTACCTCTCTGGCCTTCTCTTCTCATGAGCTTCTGCAGATTTTTCCTCTTACTGTATCTCCTATTAAACATCACTGTCCTGGAGACTCAGACCTTGGTTCTTGTCCAAAGTCACCTAGGCTATTTCATCTTCATAAGAAGTTGAAACTACCAACACTGTGCTAATAAAATGTTGCAAATATTTATGCACACCTAGCAACTTCTAAAAGCACTTCAAATGCAGTATTTAGTCTTCTAAGACAAACTGAATGGTACCACCATCCTAACTAGGATTATAATAATAATAATAATAATCACAGTAATTTTCAGGAACAAATGTAAACACTGTTGTAAGAACATTTGACATATTCACAAAATTAAGACTCAGAGACAATAAATAGTTTCCTTAAAGTTACACAGCAAATGAGTGGAAGAGTTAGAATTTGAACTCAAGTAGTCTGGCTCCAAGTAGTATAAAATGCCCCTTTATACTAGACTGCTTCTTACAGTCTCAAGAGTCATTCTCTACTCTTTCCTCTCTTTAGCCACCCTACCCACTAGCATACAATCAGCCATCAGGTTTTATTGTTTCTATTCCCTAAATATCTTTCCGAGCAAGAAGTCCTATTTCATGCCCCCTGCCGTTCACTGTCCAGCTCAGTTCATTGTCTGAACTGTTGATATCATCGTCTGTCTCCTCCTGTAGGCCATATTCCATACTGCAGCCAGAATGACTGTGTGAAACTGAGCATACCACTTCCGTGTTCAGAATTCTTCAGTGACCCTCTAGTTCCTCTATGGTAAAAGCCTATTTCTTCAGAATAATCTTTATTATTAGATCACTAATAATCTGAGCCCCTTGTTACAAAGGTCTACATGAAGAGATCTCTCCTCTGAGAATCCCTCCCAATCTTCTGGTAAGATGTCTGTTTTTTTCCCCACTTACTTTCCTCCTACTTCTTACATATCTCTGTGACAGGCCTTAACAGAATGTATTATAATCTTTTTGTCTAACTTTCTCCACACTGGTCTGTACACTCTGAAAACAAAGTCAATGTTTTAATCTTTATATTCTTACCAACTTGCATATTGCTTGGCACATAGAAGTAGGTTTTCAATAAACGTTTGTTGGAAGAACTAAAAACCATTTAGCTCCCCAAACCTCTAATTATTCTGTGGTAGCATGCTGCCTCTTTGAAAAGGAAATTAAATTTAAATTAATTCTTAGGGTTTAAAAATAAATGCAATAAAGGCACTGATAGTAAGAAATACATTAAAAAATATGAGTAGTTCTTCCAATTCCTCTTAGTTTCCTGAAGTTAAAAGCTTGCTGCCCTCCAAACAAATCGGTGAAAGGCATGTTTCCTTTGTCCCAAGCAGTGTTAGTTTTTTTCTCTAGCCAACATTAACAAATACAAATAGTTCATATTAATATCCAGATGCCTGGCTTCTCTTGAAAAAGGAGAATACATGGCCACACAAGGACCACATTCCCATGTGTCAAAAATCTGCTGGACATTCATAGAACCTACTTGCTTCGGGTAGGATGTGAATTTTGCATTTTGCCACAGTCCTGGACACCAGCATAAACACTTCACCCTTCCTGCTGCTCCTGCCATTCCCTGCCTAACCCTATCAATGCCTCAATTTTTTTCCCCTGCTGAGACACTTTCTACATGTTTTGTTGAAATGCCTTGAACTCATCCTTAAATAAAAACTTTATGGAGAGATTACTTAGGATTAGGTTCTTAACAGATTCACAGAACCTTTTGCTCTGTGAACCTGTACTTATGTATTCTAATATACTTCATTTCTTTATAATCCTATGTATTTTCTGTTATTTATTTTAAAGAAGTATTCTTGGAGGGAGTCCATAGGCTTTTCAGGACTGCCAAAGGGGTGATTTTCCCTCCTCAAAGTAAATACATTTAAGTAGAGATGTACTCATTTCAAAGAAAGAGAAACTTCAGATTACCCTTTCACCATGTTAAATTCTTAAAAATCTTTTGTGTTTTTTAAAACATTAAAAAAATCGAAAACTCATATAATTAACGTCAGGTAAGAGCCATTATAATTGGCATCTGCCACAATACTCTTTGACATCTTGTAGGGCCTATGTACAGAATATATTTTGAAGATGGGCAAACACTGTAGAGAATGCCATTGACTCAATACACATCACAAACATGGTTGGCAAGCTAAGCAGTGTTTACTCTAGAGTATTTGGTTCACATTCTAGGCTGGATGAGCACCAGCAGGAAATAGTTTCTTTGTTTGCAACCTGAAAACTCAAGCGCTGAGACAGGGCAGAGAACTAAAATG